CTTCAGAGTCCAGTGCACGAGCTAACCAGGCTCTGATACCACTTGTCAAAATCGGGCTGCTCAATTAGTACGATATTGTCCGCTTTGGGCCAAGCCCGCACGGTTTTACTTTTGGGTGTCCTCCCCAAAAGGCCTCGTACTAATTGGGCTAGGTGGACTCTAATATACAAGGGTTCCTTCCCTTGTATTTTCGATGTGGTACTTGGATTGTACCCTAACATTACTGTACTGCAACTTTACTCTTTTGAACTCAGTATAAATACAGAGATGAGATGGAGCTGAGCTCCTTGCGTGTTCCAATTCTATACCGCCATTACACTTCTTCTTCTTATCAAACCCTAGCTCTCTGAGCTTTTCTACATGGTATCAGAGCTGGAACGGATCCAGTGACCAACAATGGCGAATCAACCTCCTCCCAACACACCACCTGGTGGTACTCCGCTGCGCAGTGGTTCTATTCCCTTCGGAAGCTTCGACCCACAATCCAACATGACGAACAATGGCAGTACCAGCACAAACAACAACACCAGAGACGATCGCCCAGATCTGGTTTTCGGTAATCCATTCTACATCAACCCAAACGAGAACATTTCCCAATCGATTGTTTCTGAGAATCTAGATGGCCCTAATTACCAGATGTGGCAACGTGCAGTTCGTATGGCTTTGAAAACTAAACATAAGCTGGGTTTCATCGATGGTTCTATTCCTATGCCTGATATGGTAGATGATTCGTTTGCGATGTGGGATGCTTGTAATACCCTTGTTCTGTGTTGGATCTTGAATTTCATTGACAAAGAAATTAGGAGGAGTGTTATGCAGCACGAGAATGCTCGTCTTCTCTGGACTGAACTTAAGAATCGATTTGGAGTTACAAATGCTATCAAGCTAGCCAATCTCCAGGATCAGATTATTGCTTGCAAACAGGGCACTCTCAATATCACACAGTACTACACTGCTTTTAAGGGTTTATGGGAAGAGAATCTTCAATTCAATCCCATTGTAGAGTGTGACTGTGTTGCCCAAAGGACTCGTCCTTGTGCAGCAGTGGAAGCTAATAAGCAGAAACAAGAAGTGGAGTACCTAATCCGCTTCTTGAAAGGTTTGAGACCAGAATTTGAAGTGATCCACACACAACTGCTGATGATGAAGCCTTTACCAACAGTGGATAATGCTGTGAATGATCTTCTTCAGCATGAGCAGAAGATCAAAGGGGATAAAGTTGGAGTGACAAGGGGAGTGCAGACTGTTGCCCTTGCTGTTCAGAACCAAAACAAGTCTGCACCCAATCCAAGCTCAAGTTCAGATGGGCCTAAGTTCTGCAGATATTGTAAGAAGGAGAACCACAACATTGAAGACTGCTATCGTCTGAAGAACAAGAAGGCAAGAATGGCTGGAAGCAATGTTGTTGCAGCTGTGTCACAAGGTGATTCTTCCACTGATAGTGACTCAGCCAGTTCAGATACAAAACTCAGCATCGACACTAAAAGTACAAGCTCCAACATCAGCCTGTCTTCAGATGAGTTGAACAAACTAAGGTTCCTTCTGCAATAAGTTTCCTCATCTCCCAATCCTTCACAACCAGCATCTCCATCCATCAACCACCTTGCCTTCTCAGTGGCACAGCATATTCCACACTTTCCCAATCATGCTGGTAAATACATCTTATCTTCTTATCTGCAGCATAAGAATGATTCACTTATGGAGGTCTGGATCCTAGACACTGGGGCTTCAGACCATATAGCATGTAACTTGCATGCTTTTATTGAATCTACTCCTGTGTTTGGTCAGTTTGTCTTCCTACCTAATGGTACTAAAGTGGCAGTTAATCATATAGGCAGAGTGAGACTTCCTACCAACCTTATCCTTGACAATGTCCTATTAGTCCCTAGCTTCACCTTCAATTTAGTATCAGTTAGCAAACTGACTAATGACCTTCACATTTCCTTACATTTTGAATCTGATTCTTGCCAAATTCAGGACCTCATGACCCAGAGCAGGACTGGTTTGGCAAAACAGATTAGAGGTCTCTACCAGTTGATTTCCAAGTCCACACAACCACTTCTCAATACACCTCGGGCTGCTTCTACATACAACTTCTCTCCCCACACTATTGACATTGGAGGCTAGGCCATCCTAGTAAACACAGAGAGAATCTTTTAATCCCTTGTAATAGGACTTCTATTTTCCACTGTGAAACATGTCATTTTGCCAAACATAGAAGGCTTCCCTTTCCTAGCAGTACTAGTCATGCACAAGATGCATTTGAACTAATTCATGTAGACATATGGGGTCCTCTTGCTATAAAATCCCATGAGGGGTATTCTTACTTCCTGACAATTGTTGATGATTACTCTCGAGGTGTTTGGACTTACCTTAAGAAGTTTAAATCAGAAGCTAGTACTTTGTTAAGAGCTTTCTGTGTTATGGTTTTTAAGCAATTCTCAAAGCCTGTTAAGGTTGTTAGAAGTGACCAAGGCAGTGAAATTCACATGGCTGATTTCTACACTGAGCATGGGATTGTTCACCAACAGTCCTGTGTTGAAACACCTAAGCAAAATGCTCGAGTTGAATGCAAACATCAGCATATACTGAATGTTGCCAGGTCACTTCGATTCCAATCAGGACTTCCTCTTACCTTTTGGAGTGATTGCATCCTCCATGTTGTTTTCCTCATTAACAGAATTCCTACCCCAGTCTTGGAAAACAAAACACCTTATGAATGCTTGTATGGCAAACCACCTAGCCTTGTTGGTTTAAAGGTTTTTGGTTGTCTCTCTTATGCTGCCACCTTACACAGAGACAGGACCAAGTTTGACAGTAGGGCTAGGCAGTGCATCTTTCTTGGTTTTCCTACAGGGGTTAAAGGCTATAAACTCTATGATCTCAACAATCATTCTTTCTTTATCTCTCGTGATGTCACATTCTATGAAACCATCTTCCCATTTGCTGTTAACCAGTCTTCCACTTCTCCCACAGTTGCAGATCCAATCTATCCTGCATTTCCTCTTATTTCCCCTACTTTACCTTCTTCTTCTTCTCAGCCTGCACCCCCTTCAGATACTCCTTTGTCTACTTCCACTCCTTCTTCCTCTTCTTCTGCACTGCCTACTGCCTCAGATGAGTCTTTCTCTTCAGCTGAAACTACTGGTGTGCAGTCTGTGGGGGAGGAAGCTGAGATTGAGGTATTTCCTGATCCAGTTGACTCAGATGAAGCTGAGTATATCAGGAAGTCCAGTCGAGTTAAAACTGTTCCTATATGGCATAAGGACTATCATGTCAACATTGCAGCATCTTGTACCAAACACCATGTATGACATTACTATACCTTTGAGCAACTCACACCTGCTCAACAGAAGGTTGCTATGAGCATTATGGTAAATGAGGAACCAACCTCATATGCCGAAGCCTGTAAAGATCCAAGGTGGAAGGAGGCTTGCAAAGAAGAATTAGCAGCACTGGAAGAGAATCAGACATGGGAAATTGTTAAACTTCCTAAGGGAAAGAGAACTGTGGGAACCAAGTGGGTGTTTAAGATTAAGTACAAAGCAGATGGTACTATTGAGAGATTCAAAGCAAGACTGGTAGCCAAAGGCTACACGCAGATTTATGGAATTGATTTCCTTGATACATATTCCCCCGTGGCAAAAATAAATTCTGTCAAGACTCTTCTAGCAGTAGCAGCCTCTAAGGACTGGCACATACATTAGATGGATGTATCTAATGCATTCTTACATGGGGACTTGGATGAGGAAGTCTACCTTGAAATCCCACCTGGAGTTGACATCCCAAAAGGGTCGGGTTTGGTTTATAAACTCAAAAAATCTCTATATGGGCTTAAGCAAGCTAGTAGACAGTGGTTTGCTAAGTTAGCTAGTGCTCTGATGAAGAATGGCTATTCACAAACCGCTTCAGATTACTCCATGTTTGTTAGATGGATCCAGGGAAGAGTTGTGGTTGTCTTAGTGTATGTGGATGATATTTTGATTGCTGGAAGTTACCTTGGTGATATTGAACAATTGAAAATGTTCCTCAGTAAAGAATTCAAGGTAAAGGATCTGGGTCAGATGAACTACTTCCTTGGTCTGGAAGTTGTAAGAGATCACAAATGAATCTCAGTAAGTCAGAGGAAATACTGCTTGGAACTACTTACTGACACCGGTTTCCTTGAAGCAAAGGGTTGTTTGTCTCCAGTAGACTGTAATGTGAAGTTGACAGCAGATCAAGGAGAGCCAGTACCTGATCCAAGTGTTTACAGAAGGCTAATTGGTAGACTTCATCACTTGACCATTACTAGGCCTAATGTAACGTATGTTGTTCAGCAATTGGCTCAGTTCCAAACAGCACCAAGTATAAATCATCTGTAGGCAGCACACAAGGTTATCAGATACTTGAAACACACTCCTGGCCAAGGCTTGTTGTTTAAGGCAGATTCTAAGTTGGAGCTTTCTGGTTTCTGCGATGCTGACTGGGCGAGTTGCCCTGACTCTAGGAGGTCTTTGACAGGTTACTGCACATTCCTGGGTTCATCGTTGATTACATGGAAAACAAAGAAACAGACAACTGTCTCAAGGTCCTCTTCTGAAGCGGAATACAGAGCACTAGCTCAAGTGGTTTGTGAAGTACAGTGGCTGAGAAATTTGCTGCTGGAGATGGGGATTAAGGTTCCCTTACCAATTACTTTGTTTTGTGAAAACAGGTCAGCCTTGCATATAGCCGAAAACCCGGTTTTCCACGAGAGAACCAAGCACATCGAGATCGACTGTCATGGCACTCGAGAGAGGCTCAAATCTGGTTTGATTAAGCTCAATCATGTAAGAACTGATGATCAAGTTGCAGACTTATTCACTAAAGGAATGACTCTCTATCGACTGAGTTTTCTTCTTGGCAACCTGGGAGTCTTCAATGCTTACTCGCCAGCTTGTGGGGGAGTATTGAACAAGGAAGATGAAGATGAATGAAGCTGCTGCAGGATTCTCAGAAGACTGAAGCAGCTGCTGGTTTTACAGAGATCAAGAGGCAGGAACGTTTCGTTTCGGCCTCCCCTTCCATCTAGCGTAGGCGAAGACCGAAGCGACGTTGTGGAGGCTTACTTACCGTTAGGTGGAAAAGAGAGAGGCCAATCAATCGAAGACACATGGCGCATTTTATTTACCGCATTTATATTTCTGTTTTTTAACAGTCATTTCAGTTTTTACTGTACTGCAACTTTACTCTTTTGAACTCAGTATAAATACAAAGATGAGATGGAGCTGAGCTCCTTGCGGGTTCCAATTCTATACCGCCATTACACTTCTTCTTCTTATCAAACCCTAGCTCTCTGAGCTTTTCTACAGACTTTGATCGACTGATTGCAGAGGTTTTTTCGTGGTGGTAAGTGATAACACTGAGACATGAAATCCTGCACCAATGGGCTGCACCCTCTTTTAAGTTCCTTGCTACGAAATAAGTATGTTGCTGATGTCCTATAAATAATCTGAGTTATCAGCAATTGAGTTGAAGTTCGGCATTAAGGGTTTGAACACATGGCTCTAAATGATTCTTCGTCTGCAATTACACGCGGTATGGTCCATGATCCCAGAGGGTTTCCGATTAGCTTCCCGCCTAACCAAGCCAGCAGTCAATTGTTGTCAGTCTTGAAAAGCATTTTTTCAAAATAGTTCATGAAAATGAATATGCACCAGCAAAATACTACCTTCTCTTGTTGCCTCTTCGCATCTTCTCTGGTAACTTTTTGATAAGTGAGGCTCCAGAGTCTTCAGCAAACGTTCATACTTCTCTTCGGCATCACCGATGCACTTTGCCTGGGAATATAGAGATAGAGTAGAGACTCCTGTTAAAAAGATAAGCAGGCCTTACTCTATACTAATGAATCTTATACTGCCAAGATATCTCACCAGCATTGCTGGGGCTCTTGAAGGTCCATATATTCTGACAAACATCCGCAAGATATTGAAGCTATTCTCTTGTACATCATCCTGAGTAAAATCAAATTGTTTTTCGCATTAGCAACCTACAGAGGGTAAATTACATGTTCAGAGATGTCTATATGACAACGCACCTCGTAATCAAACCTATGGATGTTGCATTTTGAGTTGGCGATTAGTGGAACCGAGTTCACTTGGCAAGCAGATTGTAGTATTGATGAACGAAAAAAAGTATTAGTTCTTCCTGCAGATTAACCAGTATGTGGAAACACGGTGCTATGCGCGAACTGTAACCTGATATTCTACTACTTCACTATTTAACAAGGGCGGTAATAGTTTGATTGAGAGGCATGCCCCTGCCAAAACGAAATCACTTACAGATCATCTGCTATTTCAACCAAAAACTCTGATATTGATAGGAAATCCATATGCAAGTCATTCACCTTCATAACAGCTTCAAACAAACCACAGCTTAGTTTCTATTAAACGAACTAATTCATAACCCCAAAAGAAGAAAACAAGCAAATATTCTTTCCCCGGAATAGTGACTACAACTAACGAACCTGTTCTCCTTGCAGCTGATAAAGGAGAAGATTTAGTATGCGATAGTCAAATGATTTCAGATGAATTGCCCTCATTACATCTTCAACACAGATCTGCAACACAATTCACCATCAGGATTTCAAATATCTAAAACTTGTGCAAGCTGATTCCCGGCTCTGAATTTCATTCATCAAGAACCCACTAACTAGCTTATATGCTGGTTTTCGCTTAAGTAGTTAAGTAGTTTAGAATCTGAGGATGCACTTCTGATAGTAAAGATACATCCCCGTGACACTTTATACTAACATAAACACGGCTCAACACAGAAGAGAAGCAATCATACACGGTACCTCGTTCTGATTTGCTAGTGCCGAACAAAGGTCTCTTTCAAGTGACCAATACTCTTCTCCACACCTCAATTCTTCTCGGATCCTTAAACATAAGAGAATCGAACACCAGAAAGGTGTGGTGCACCAAATTCAGAAATGAAGATTCTCCATTCTTCCGAAATAACCCGAAAATGAATAGGACCTTGTGATTTACCTCTCTGTAAGAAGGCCATGATGTTCTAATTGAAGCACAAGTGGCTGGAACGGTTCAGTTTTAAGAATACCCATAAACTTCATCTCGAAGCCTTGGGTACCATCCTGCTTAAATTGGACAAAGGTGGCCAATTGAGCATTTGACAAAACAATTCAAAAATACGAGAAACAAGTTACATAAAATGCTAAATGTTGCCTACCTCAAATCCTCTTCCTAGACATGCAACTTTGCTGCTTGCCAAATTAACTATCTTTTCGTTCAAGCTATCCATCTGCACTAACAAAAAATTAGCTTCCAATAACATAGCAAATAAAGACGTGAATACCAAGAATCAAAGCTCTTCCCAGAAATCTTCTATTCTTTCATGTTTTTACATCTGTAGCTAAAAGAAGAAAGACTTCTCAGTTGGATACCTGATAGATGTAACTTTCAGTGAAAGACAGAAAGGGTAAATATTTGAATAGTAACTCTGGCTTGTTGACATCCATTCCATGAAACATAAAGTAAGACCTACACTGCAAAATGCATAAACAATGTTAGATAACAATTAAAATTGCAGATTACGAGACTAACAATTAGGTTATTTGAATGCTTGTTTCTACAACAGAAGTTGGTAGTATAATGTCAGGTCGACAGAATGACGGTCTACTGGCAACATGGCTTCAGTTTCAAGACCAAAAAATCCATGAAAACAGTCCGTCTGAAGAAAAGGCAATGTGACCCATTTTCGTAAGGATCCCCCCATTACAACTATCATAATAACTGCTCAACTGATCATATTCTTAGTTTGATTGCCTGCAGTGTTGATTTTCACATCATCCCCAAACGATCTCAACCCTCCCGGGTGTTAAATGTTAAGTATGAAACACATCGTTAAAACCATTCTTATGTTAAGGGGGGAAACAACCATTGTTATAGAATCAAAAAATTTCGATGATAACATTCATCAAACAATCAAAGGAACAAGTGACTTGCTTACAAAATCCTCAAGAGTAGAGTTAGCTCTCTGCATAGCATCAAGCTGAACCACACCCATTTGGTGGAAACTCTTTAGTGGTTCACTACTTTCTCCATCACTAGAAAGCAAACCAACTTTGGCGATTCTACTTTCTTGACAGCCTGAAACCAATAAAAAATGCTTCTTAAAATCGTATTTAAAACGAGGTTACTATTCGATACGAATTTCAACAGAATCACGCAGGAAGGAGCTTTCGATAGGGGAAGCACAAATTATAATAGCGGTGACGGAAATTGGACCTTTGGCAGGACTGCTCTCCATCTCTAATGGAGAATGTGACTTCCCTGAGAGTGACGATTCCTGGAAAGCAGGGTCCGAAAACTGCAAACGCCCAAAATTGAATCAATTACGAGAATCCAAGTTCAGAGATTAGTTAGTTGTTGCGATTAATCAATGTGGAAAACTTCAGCTTACTAGCTGTAGTTGTTCGCGAACCAAGCTGAACTTCGTGTTCATGTCGAGATCGCCATACGGTTGCATCTGATGTCACAAGAGAAGCGGAAAGGAAGGGCAAGCAAGGGGAATCCATCAGTCATATGAAACGAGAAGAAACTGAAAAGAGTGTGTTAAGGATGAATAAATTGGGTACCAGAAAGAGGATGAAATTGGAAATGAAAAGGTTGGAATCTTCATCAGAAGCGGAAGCCAAGCGACGAGATTTGGCGAAGTTGAGCATTCTCTGTACTTCTTCCAGCCTCCTTAGCTCTTCCATTCTTTTCCGGCTTCTGCCTCCGCCGCTACTCTGTCTCTGAGGATCTCTCCTGTTCGAATGTATCGGCCAGAACTTCGTTACATATAAATATTGAGTAAATGTCCAAGACGATCACTTAACTTTGAGATGGAGAACGAAATGGTCGTATAGCTTTGAAAATTCACAAATGGGCCACATAAGTGCAATATAATTATAACGGGTTAATGACTAATTTATAATTCGGGTACACGGGATTGGTTGTTAAGGTAAACTCTCTTTGGTAGGATAGTCATCCAATTTAATGTCATTCTTGTAAGTGCAGGCAATCATCCTCTCATCCTGGTCATTACATCATTATATGTTGTTGCCTACAATGCTAAACACACGATTATCTTACTTTCGTGTTGATTAAGTAAAAAAAATCATCTCAAATAAACACTTAGTTAACTTATCGTCACATTTGCATGTGAGAACAACTTCTCCTCAAGCGGAGCGATCATGATGCTGGCGAATCCACAAATTCCTCAAGACATTAGTTTTGCGCCAAGGTAAAAATCACAACATTTTTATCATAGTATTGTAGTGCATTTAAACTTAGAAGCTTAAAACATAATAAGAAAGTAATTACATATCCTTTTTGTGAATAAAGTGACGGTGATGCGCCAACTCCTCCAGTGAAGGAAACCGAAAAGGCTCAATTAAAAGATAATCCCAATCAAAACAGTACAGGATCTGAATATATTGAAGATGAATGATGGAGAGGAGGTCAGTATCAATTTCGATTTAACAATCTAATGACTATCAAATGCTAACACTTGGCTTCTGCCTTTGGTAATGAAATGTTAGCACCCTTTTTAAAAAGAAAAACTAGTGAAGGAAACAGAAAAGGCTCAATTAAAAGACAATTCCAATCAAAACACTACAGGATCTGAATATATTGAAGATGAATGATGGAGAGGAGGTTAGTATCAATTTTGATTTAACAATTTAATGACTATCAAATGCTAACACTAAATATATAATATGCAGGGGAATATGTATACCGCATATGCAAAGTTGTCAAGGTTAAGAATGGATGGTGCTATGCTGGATGTCAAAGTTGTCCACAAAAACTCGAAGAAGATTCTGATGAGTACTTCTGTGGGAATTGTACGACTACGTTAAAGACCACAACAGCCCGGTAATTCACTAATTATTAATATTAATTTGAGTTTAATGTATTTCATTCCTTAATATACTGGCAAAGTAGTAGGTTATTTAATTAACTACAACATAATATATGTTCCTTTTATCATTTCATACATGTAGGAATAGGAACGTCGTCGGAGATTTAATTTGCTGGAGCATAATTTATAGGACTTTGCTACGGTGACATGCATGTCACGGTGACATGAACTTTTCGGTCGACCTCATATAGGATCAGGTCGACCTAATCAGTTGTTTCTAGTGTAAAAACAGTTTCATGGTGCCTACTTTGGAGATTCATATCTTACAATTGGCTAGATGGAAATTGGAGATTAAAGGCTTGTTTGGAAGCTGAAGTGTCCCTCTACACATTAAAGTACTTGAGAGCTCAATAGAAAGTCCAGAAGATCATTTTTTAACCTGACCAAAAGGTTATGCCAAAACTGGGAAAATGCCTGAAAATGGCTAAGTCTGGCAACGTGTTTGTCAAGCCTACTTTGGAGCTCAATTTGAGAAGCATGGATGCGAGTCAAGTCCAGGGGTCTCTACCACGTTAAATTACGTATTTTTTTTATACAAAGGCAATGCATTGGATGAAAGATTGAATATCTTTAAGGCTTCAAACAAAAGGCTCGAAGTTGTTACGAAGGCTATTTTTCTGGCAGCTTGCTTGTGCTCGAAGTCTGCCAGAAAAACAGCCTTCGTAGCAACTTTGACCCTTTTGTTTGAAGCCTTACAGATATCCAATCTTTCATCCAATGCCTTGAATTTGTATAAAAACATACCTAATTTAACGTGGTAGAGGCTCCTGGACTCGATTCGCATTCATGCTTCTCGAATTGAGCTCCAAAATAGGCTTCACAAACACGTTTCCAGACTTAGCCATTTCCAGACAGTTTCCCAGTTTTGGCATAGCCTTTTGATGAGGTTCAAAAATGGTCTTCTGGACTTCCTATCGAGTTATCAATCACTTCAATATGTAGAGGGATACTCCAGCTTCAAAACAAGTCATTAGTCTTCAATTTCCATCTAGCCAATTGTATGATATGAATATCCAAAGTAGGCACCATGAACTGTTTTTACACTGAAACAACAGATTAGGTCGACCAGATCCTATATGAGGTCGACCGAATCCTAAATGAGATCGACCTAATCCTAACTGAGGTCGACCGGAAAGTGCAAGTCACCGTGACATGCATGTCACCGTAGGCACACCCTAATTTATATTCCTTTACTTTTTGTATACATATAATATAATAAACAAATTATTGCATGAATAATTATACATTATAAATGCGTAATATAAACACGTTCGAGATTCATTCCAGTTTACTCTATTTTTATCTATTGCTCCCATTTGGCCTCCCCATCAGTATTAGTTTACGCCTCAATTACCATATATTAATTCAATGGTTAAATTTTTGGGCCTAACCACTCATGATTTTTGTTCTTCTTTACAATCATAAATTCAGGATCCACCTCTAAGTTGCGGATAAAACAGCTGAAGCTAGCTTTGTTATTATGGATGGAGTTGTCGATGGATTTTTTGGCATATCTGCTGAAACGCTACTCCAAGACAACGAACAAATGAAAGGACCACCACCGGCTCATCTCCTACAAATTGAAGGAATGATGTTGAAGTTCTTCATCAAGCTAACTGATTACAACATCGCTAACCCTACAAATGAATACACAATTATCAAGATAGGGAAGGATGAGGAAAACAACAATTCAAATGATCTGCCTGAATTAATTGAGGTATGTCCAGCTAACGTCGAATTGTCATTTACCAAACTTCGTTATTATCTACTATATTTCGAGCTTCTTTTGACCATGCACCCTCTAATTATTGAAGCATAATTACCATGCACTTTCAATACTTGGACATTGATTTTGCAATGCATTTGATCGGTAAGAATGTTATATATATATATATATGTAAATGACTGGTGTACGTCAGCCGTATAGTATACAGCAGGTGATCTAACCGTTAGATGTACTTAGATGAGCTCCGGCCGATCTCAATGGTCAATTTTTGTTTTTCATTAAATGAAACTTCGGGTTGGGGTTTAGAAAATCGGTGCTTGGGGTTTATCCATTAAAGGTTAGGGTAGAGTATCATACCCCAAACTCGATTTAATTCATGGTCTAGATATAGATATCTCAGGCTTCATTCATATAACTACACCCAATTGCAGGAGGAAAAAATTGGGCCTGCTAATGGTGGACGTGTTGAACCGGCCAGCGTGGATGAGATCTATGACGAGAAGAAGCACGATAAAGCTCATGAGGTAGATAAAAGTATTGATCGTCTGGTGACTGCACAAATCCAGGATACTGTTCAAATTTTGGATCAGGTAAATTCTACACCAATGATATAATTTAATTTCACTTGCACAAAAATTAGAATACCGAAACTATTGGCTAAATTGAATGCAGACAAATGAGGAAGCAACTCCTAAAATGCAAGAGGAGGAGGCGTCAACATTTAATGGAGAACAATGTGACACCAACGGCGACAAACCAACTACTATGGATGGACGTGCTGATGTTGTCGATGGCGCAGGAACTGAAAACAAGCAGCAAAAAAGAAAATGTGGAGACGATGAGGGGTAAATAGAAGAACTCTTTCAAAATAATTTTAGGAGTCGGTTCCTTATCATGGGGTTTGTCTTTCATTTTTCATATGAGGATACTCAATGAGTCGGTCAGGATATCGGTGGCAATATTTTATTCTCTTTTAATATTTATGGTCCGTCAGGATTTTGACTAAACTATTTACATCTCTTTTTATATATATGGTTCAACTATTCTCATTTGTGTACTTCGTTTACTTTTGGAATGAAGTCTTAAATTAAACTTCGCTATTTCTTTGTTATGCATGGCAGGTACGTTCTGATGGGGTGTGATCCATATTATTCTTATAATGCTATGTATAATAAACTTCTGCCACTTTGTGAATGGATCATTATTATTATCTGTGCTTCTTTATTCTCGTTAGAGCCGGCATGCAAAGAATTTCTTTGGGGGCAAATGTCATTTGTTACTTCTACAAGTGTCCATAAAGCTAGCTACGCAGATCATATGTTGTGAAATCAATGTTATATGTCAAATGTCGTCACCAGCAACTTAGACAAACAACAATTAATTTTCCAAATTAACTCATTTTATACTTATTCAAAATGACCATTTAACTTACTTAAGAAAAGGGGTATTCAACCATGTATTAAGTGTCTAATTTATTAATTAATTGTTGCAATGAGTGAACAATTTAAATGGGCATTTTAAAACAAAATATATGACACTAGACAAAATTTTATTTTTCTTATATCATAAGTGTATATGATTTTTTATATTACATTTAATATATTTAAAACAATTATGTTATAGACAAACCGATTCATTAGATACTTCGTCCAGTCAAGTTTTCTTCATTGAATTAGGTTTGTATACATATTTCAAACAGGAGAGATCCAGTGAGTCCTACTCTCAGCCTCAGGAAGCCCTTGTCAACCTTGAAGAGCTATACTCTAGTGGGAGTTGTCACTGTCAGGCAGCCTTGCATAAGGTCCAAACAGTCTCGCGACATTGTAGAAATAATGGCATTGTACAAGTTATGATGATAGTAACGAGGCATTTTAGTGTGCTTTATAGTATTGGTACTATAAAACATTTACAGCCATTAGATCATGTCCAAACTATATCAACCATTAGATTTCATTTAAATTATTAATTTATTATTTTATTTGTGTGTTGATGACCGGTACAACCGGTTTTCTGAAACCAATTACACTCTTCTTCCTTCGAAACCAATTACACTCTTCTTCTCACCGCCGAAACCCCTCTTCCTTCGATCCTCTCCACGCAGCTAGCGAGCAGTGAAGACGGCGACAGTGAAGACGGCGAGCAGTGGGTGACGACGAGTGAAGACGGCGAGCAGTGGGTGACGACGAGTAGAAGGCGGCAGTGAAGGCGGCGATTCGGATTCCGGATTCCGACGACGACAGTGAAGGCGGCGAGCAAGGGACGATGAGAGCGAGCATCTCTTCGTCGATTGCAAACGAAGACCCTCTTCCCATCGATAGCTAACGAAGACTCTGCACAAAACCCCTCTTCCCATCGATAGCAAACGAAGACCGCTGACCTACCTCCTCCACCGCAACTTTTTTTCGGTTAGTACTATCTTCTTTGTGTTTAGCTTGATAATTAGCTGCAATGGCGGTTCCTATTGTTCCTTCACTTGTTTTGAAGGAGAATTTGCAGCATTTACCTTCTCTTCACCTTGTTTTTGCTGTTGAGGTTGTGCTTGATTTGTCTCCGTTTCAGCAACATCCTTAGCAGGCTCTTGTTGTTGTTGTTGTTGTTGTTGTTGTTCTTCCTCAATCTTCTTCTGTTGAGGAGGAGCATTGGGTTCTTCTGTTGTTAGGGTAGAAGAATTCGAGTCTGAAGAATTCACAGCAGTTGTGGTTGTTGTTGTTGTGGTTGCGGTTGTGGTTGTTGATGATGCTTCCTTTGGTGAGGAAGCTTTGGATGGATGTTGTTGTTGTAGTTCTTCCATCTTCTTCGTGGGAGGATTGATATGATATGATATGGTAGATAGAAAGGCCGTGTTCACTGAGAAAGTTGGGAATTTTTCTCTGTTTAGCCAATTGATGAATGTAGTTAAGTTTGAAGACCATGATTTGTTTGATTGATTTAAGTCTCTTTGCTATGGTTAGTGGCTCCAAGCATGCGATTAACCAACAGAAATGGGTGCTTATCTTAACTGTTCACTTCATAGTATGAGTTTTCTGTTTGTGGAGTTATCGGATGTATCCGAAGGGACTGTCTGTGGAGTTAGAATTGTGTATATAATGTAGAAAAGAAGTTTAGTGCAGTGGGTAAAAGAGCTTCCATGAATGATGAGACATTAAGGTCAAACTTAGTTAGGATATTTATAGCATGGTTGTGGCTGATCGATATGCAAATACAGGAGGTCTGTTGGCCTTAGAATATACGGCAGCTTGGGAGTTACTCCAAGTTTTATTCTTTATTGTACATTCCGTGCCTCGATCTCATTTTATATGACTGATCAAAATTCTAGAATCTTTAGCAAGCGTTGGTATCGTGGTGGAACATTTGATACAATCAGTAGACCTCATTGTAACGCATAACAACATCTTTTTCTTGCCTACTGCATACTGCTCCAAATTGTTAGAAGCTCGTGTATTTGTTATGTTTTCAGAGCTACTGATTATGCTGCTTCTAATGAAGGTGGTGATCGTATGTTGATTAACGAATTGAGGAAAATGAAATGTTAAAGTTCCATGATGCTTTATCAATACTACTGTTCTGCTGCATCTTGTCCCCAACCTAGGAAATGGAGGGTAGAAGGTTACAAATGTTCAGTGGCTTTTGTTTTATTTGCAAGATATTTTGGATTTTTAGCATCTAAAGACTTGGGAAGAAATAAAGATGGATTTTCAATATTGTCCCATTGAAGTCGTTCTTCTTGGTAACTACTTAGCCAAGTCTAGACTTACAGAAGGTGTTGATGTGATTTTGGAAGAAGAATAGAAGTTTAGCTCTGCACCTGCTTTACTTGCTAAATGATGTTTATTCTTTTTGGACAACCTTTTAGCTGCTTTCTTCAAAGAAAACAGCCTTGTGGGTGCCCTAGAAAGCAACTAAGATTGCTATGTTAATCCAGTCCCTCATACTATTTATATTTGGTCAGTTGGTATACGTGTGATGTTCATATGGAAATTGTCACTGGCTGTGATATAGATGACCCATCACTTCATAACTATTTATGCATTTGGTTGCCCTTAAACTCTACTATTTATCCTGGTAATTTAATATCGACAATGGAGTCCTAGAAGGGAGTTAGGACTGATTTTCTTGGAAGCATTGTAGCAAGAGACCCCGTTAATACGGGCAGTGGCGGTGTGTGGAAAACAATGGAAAGTTATTTTGAAATGCAGGACAAATATTCAGTCCAGAAACAAATTTAGTTCATAAAAGTGAAAAAGGAAAAGCATAAATGAGAGAAACTTGGTTGAGTGTCATTTCCAGAATGGACTGCATGCATGATTCTGCTATGTTTAAATGCTAACTGCAGGGTCCTGAAATCTTGATGTCTTTGTAACTGTACTTCTCTCATACTAGCAGAGTGAGTCTGTAGAGTTTGGAAATCTTTACTAGTTGATTGTATCATGAAATTGTCTCATTTTTAGCAAATTAATTGGTAGGTTGGTTAGACTTTAAAAAAACTTTGTCTCTAGCTTCTTGATATGTTTCCAGATCACTGTATCTTATACTAGCAAGTGGAAGAGTACTGGAGAAGTTTTGAAATCGAACATTGATGGGCCTCCACTGAAGTTTGTGCTCAGTAATAGATTGATCTTATGCTCGCTAGCTTAATGAATATGGCAGATTTTTATCGGTGTTTTTAGTTTCACGGGTTATTTTAACGGCCGTGATTTATGAAGCCAAAGCCGTGAGATTGTCTGGGGATATGAAAACTACTCTTTGCTTCTCACGGGTCATGTCACGGCCGTGAGAATTTGCATTTTGGGTGAAATTTAATGGAAGCTGGGTGTTTTGGGTGAAATTTATATATGCCAATGGCGGATTTCATGGTTAATTAGTGTACTCAGGTGTTGATGTAGGGAGTTTTCAGTTCTTCTGGTAGTTAGAACTTGTATTTTGTTTGTACTCTTCGGCATGCTTATAATTCGTGTTTCAAGGCATGCTTATAATTTTTCTGTTGTTTTAATTTTGCAGTTTGCTAAAATTGTTCTATAATGAAGACGAAGAGGCATCAAATTTTCAGCACGCGATGTTCTCCTAGGAAAGTATTCTCACTAGTCTCAAATTTAGAGGCTTGTCAATCAGAGGCCATTAAGAGATGTGTCTTTGGTCGTATTCTTGAAGTCAAAGGAAGAAAGATACAACGTGAGTTGTTGGAGAAACTTTTGAAGAGCTTTAATCTGGAAAAAAGCACAATTAAGGCGTATGGGTTGGAAGTGCATATTTCGGCCAAAGATTTCGAGCGAATTATGGGCGTGCCTGAGGGAGGTACTGATATCATCTTGAATGGTGAAGAAGTGGAGGGAAGATCAGAGGAACTGGAACCATTTAGAGTGTTTTCGACACGTGATTGTGGCCGACAGGCGATTTCCACAAGCTTAATGCAGAAGGCGTTGTCGGAGATGAAAGATAGCGGTGATCTATTTCTTCAAATGTTTATTTTGTACGTAATGGGGGTTCTATTAGTACCAACTAGAAGAGATGACATTTCCTTGTCTTCGGTATACGCTGTCACCGATGTTGCAGACATTCCGAAGAAGAATTGGGCATCCTTTTGCTTCAATGAATTGGTCAAAGACATCTGCGACCATAATGCTTATAGGAGAGAGTATATACCGGGTTGCTTGCTGTTTTTGGAGGTAAATAATTGCTAATCCCGACTTTCTACATATTTGTAATGATTAATCATCATGTTGATTATAGTATTTTTTTGTAGTTAATATTCTTGGAGCATGCAAATGGTATTTTCCAAACCATTGATGGGAGTTTGGATTTGATGAGTTGGGAGAGCGGAGACGTGGAGTTATTGTTTACAAAAGTGGTAAGATTGATAGTATATTTGATTCTTTTGACAAGTTGGAGCATGCTAATGGTACATTTGGTTCCCTTTTTAATTAATTTATAGGTTTCCAGCAGTTCGGGGAAAAGATCAGCTAAGGATGCCGGTTTGAAATCACCTCCAAGGAAACGGGGAAAAGGAGACGGGAAACGGCACAAACCCGACGGGGATGAGCTGCTTCTCTATGAGCGTATTGATGCTCGGTTTAGTACCATGGAGGGTAGAATTGACAACTTTGGTCAAGAATTTAGAGTGGCAATGGGTGATGCTGCTTCTAGAGATAATGAGCTAATGAGCCGGGTTGTGAAAATGGAGAACGAATTTCGGGCTTTTAGAGAAGAAATCGGTACTGCAATGAAGTCCCTTATAGAGGCAGTGAAAGCAACTGTAGGTGATCCATTGTCAAGGGAGCAGCCTAGGGAACCCATTTCTCCTACAGCTGAGTTGAAAAAGAACGATCAGAAAGGGTGAGGTTGAAAAACCAAGGGAACCCATTTCTCCTACCTCGGAATGTGTCAAGACTGCCAAAGTTGAGAATTCGGGAGAAGCTGAAGGGGAAATTGGAGATGACAGATGTTCTGAATCTCCTTCTGTGAAAGTTGTGAAAAAGTCTCCTTGCAAGCAGCCTAAAGCGTCTAAAGTTGAGAAATTCATATTGTTGAGTGATGAAAGTGTTGCTGCTAATGATGGTTGTTCCAAGGCTGTGAAGGTATTTCACTTGATTAAGTTTTCTAATTATTGGTTCTTATGGTGTGGTTACTAATGAACTGGTTTTGTTTTATGTTTTTGAACAAGAAAGGGGCGAAAGGGAGGAGGACTACGTAGTGTGTCTAAATTGAAGCCTAGTTTGTATGTGGTCTCTCCATTCGAACGGGCAAATCCCAGAGCTAAGAAAGCACAACCTTTGTACCGTGCTCCTCCCTTTGTTGTTCAGACACCATTGACTCTGGAGGCAGTGAAGATGATTCAATTTGCTTTTAGTAGTGAGCTTCCCGAAAGGTACCTCCCGAAATCATTACAAGTAAAATTGGATCATATTTGTAGGATGTTTTTGGTATTTGCCTTATTCTAATGTTGTGTTGTTTGAACTTGGTATTGTATAACAGTGACATATTGGTTAGTCTTGGTGGCGGGGTTCTTTCCTTGTTACGTGAAGATTTTGTCGAGCTTTTGCCAAGGACCAGAATTTCAACAAGGGTAAGTTCCTTTATGTGTGTAATTTAGTAGATTGAACGTATATTGCTGACTTTGGTATATGTGATGATGATGCATTAGATTATAGAAATGGCGTGTCTGTGCAAGACACTAGAAGAACGAAGTTGTGGTCGCAGTGGTGGCTTGTCTTGGTTCTTTCCACCTTCAGTTTCGGTACAGTTGTCTGCTTTGTCTATTCTTGTCATGAAATTAATATGTTTTTTTGTTACATGTAGCTTGTGTGGGTGACTGTGTTTTATTTTTCTAGGATCGTGCGAATCATTGCAACGAGGAGCAGTTTATGGCTAAGATGCGTTCATATAAGATACTTGAGCGATACTGTATAAGTGAGCTACTTTACTGCAGTAAGGTATGTTGTAATGTTGTTTTCTAAAAGGAAATGGCTTCGCCCTCCTATGTTAAATTGATAATTATTGTTTGTTTGTCCATTATTTCAGATTCATGTCCCAATTTTCAACCTCACGTTGAACCACTTCTATCTGGCGGTCTTTAATATGGAAGCCAAAGAAATTGAAATCTGGGACTCAATACGAGGAACTCATAATGAAGAATATGATGCAAGGATGCAGAAACTGGTTTGCTTCTTGTTCTTCAAGTTTTCAAGCTTTACTTATTGCTTAGTTGTTAGTTGTTTTTCATTTGCCGACTTTGTCGTTATATATCGATGAGGGGGATGTTTTCATTTGCAGAAATTGGGTCTAGATTGGTTGCTTAAGGATGATATCTGCGGGGCGTTTTCATTTGTGGACTTCGTGGTTAGATATCGCCAGGATGTTGCTTGCCAACCAAATGGGTACCCTTTGTTGTTGTTCAATCGTGCACTGTTCTAATTAAGTTCGATAATTATTTGTTCACATCATGACCATGGTAATTATTTGTTATATTACAGATTTGATTGTGGACTATTTGTCATCAATTACTTGCTGGATCCAGATCGATATTCCAAGAAGCTTGACCAGTTCGACAGTGACTATGAGCGGGCACAACTTACAATGTACTTGCTCACTACGGATCTGAATGAGGTGAAAGCTACAGTTAAGACACAGTCAGATGAATATTTTGAGAGTCATGCGAGACCTGCCCAAATCGAGACTGAGAAGGTGAATTTCAAGACAAACTTACTCAATCGAGGAAGAAAGCCGTTGCACGCGCGTGGGGAGAAAAAGGGTAGAAAGTCTAAGAAGCATTGAGACTTGTGATGTTAATGTAGAGTTTAGTTAATGTGGATGTTGATTGAAGTTTAGGATAATGTAGATATTGAATGAATTTTAGTGAATGTAGATGTTGAATGAAGTTTAGGAAACTGTTGAAATTACAATGAAGTTATGAATGAAGCATTATTCAGTGATGTTATTTTTTCTCTATATTATGTTTAGGGGTAAATGACACATTTGGTCACTGAGATTATTAAATTGTGTCATGTTTAGTCACTAGAAAAAATTAATATCAATTTTGGTCACTCGAATTATCGAAACTGGTCAAATTTAGTCACTCTCCCGTCAGTTTCGGTCCAACTCCATTAATGTAGTTGGACGGAAACTTTTGGGAGAGTGACTAAATGTGACATGTTTCAGTAATACGAGTGACTAAATGTGACATTTTTCAATAATTCGAGTGACCGGAGTTGGACAGAGGCTACAGAAGAGTGACCAAATGTGACCTGTGTCAGTAATTCGAGTGACCAAAATTGATATTAAATTTTTCTAGTGACTAAATATGACACGATTTAATAATCTCAGTGACCAAATGTGTCATTTACCCTTATGTTTAATGTGTCGACAAGGAAGAAGTTATGCATGATCGTATACCGAAAAATGGTTGAAAATGCCTTAATAATCCATTTTCACGGCCGCGAGACTGGGACGTGAGACTGGGCCTTGAGAATCAAAAAGGCATTCCCTATGTTCAGAGAACCTCACGGTCTTGAAAGGACCATCTCACGGCCGTGAGAATGGGCAGTGAAAATGGACCTTAGTCACCCTGCCAGAAGCTGTTTCACGGCCTTAATAATCCATTTTCACGGCTGCGAGACTGGGACGTGAGACTGGGCCTTGAGAATCAAAAAGGCATTCCCTATGTTCAGAGAACCTCACGGTCTTGAAAGGACCATCTCACGGCCGTGAGAATGGGCAGTGAAATGGGATTTTTATTACGCCTTAATGATGGTAATTTTACGCCCGTGAGACTGGGCCTTGAGAATCAAAAAATCATTCCCTATGTTCAGAGAACCTCACGGTCTTGGAAGGACCATCTCACACCCGTGAGATTGTGGGCTCGCGTGAGTTAGTGAAAAAAAAACGGCATTAAGAAGGTTCGAACCAGAGCACTTGGCATAATAATTCAGCGTATTAACCAGTCGGACTACTTTACATATTTTGTAAAATTCATTGTTCGTTTGCTTTTTACTACGTATGGTTGAATGAGCGTTGGATTATCGATTTTGGGTTCAACCCATGTAATTGTGAACCGATGTGAGATTGGTTGATGATATATGGTTTAGTGAGCGTTTGATTACGGTTTTTGGGTTGAACCCCATGTACTTGTGAACCGATGTGAGATTGAGGTTATTTATATGGTTGAATGAGCGTTGGATTATCGGTTTTGGGTTGAACCCCATGTAATTGTGAACCGATGTGAGATTGAGGTTATGTATATGGTTAAATGAGTGTTTGATTATCGGTTTTGGGTTCAACCCCATGTAATTGTGAACCGATGTGAGATTGAGGTTATGTATATGGTTTAGTGAGCGTTTAATTATCGGTTTTGGGTTCAACCCATGTAATTGTGAACGGATGTGAGATTGAGGTTATGTATATGGTTGAATGAGCATTTGATTATCGGTTTTGGGTTCAACCCCATGTAATTGTGAACCGATGTGAGATTGAGGTTATGTATATGGTTGAATGAGCGTTTGATTATCGGTATTGGGTTCAACCCCATGTAATTGTGAACCGATGTGAGATTGAGGTTATGTATATGGTTGAATGAGCGTTGGATTATCGGTTTTGGGTTGAACCCCATGTAATTGTGAACCGATGTGAGATTGAATTATGTATATGGTTTAGTGAGCGTTTAATTATTGGTTTTGGGTTGAACCCATGTAATTGTGAACCGATGTGAGATTGAGGTTATGTATATGGTTGAATGAGCGTTTGATTATCGGTTTTGGGTTGAACCCCATGTAATTGTGAACCGATGTGAGATTGAGGTTATGTATATGGTTGAATGAGCGTTGGATTATCGGTTTTGGGTTCAACCCCATGTAATTGTGAACCGATGTGAGATTGAGGTTATGTATATGGTTGAATGAGCGTTGGATTATCGGTTTTGGGTTCAACCCATGTAATTGTGAACCGATGTGAGATTGAGGTTATTTATATGGTTGAATGAGCGTTGGATTATCGGTTTTGGGTTGAACCCCATGTAATTGTGAACCGATGTGAGATTGAGGTTATGTATATGGTTGAATGAGCGTTTGATTGTCGGTATTGGGTTCAACCCCATGTAATTGTGAACCGATGTGAGATTGAGGTTATGTATATGGTTGAATGAGCGTTGGATTATCGGTTTTGGGTTGAACCCCATGTAATTGTGAACCGATGTGAGATTGAGGTTATGTATATGGTTTAGTGAGCGTTTAATTATTGGTTTTGGTTTGAACCCATGTAATTGTGAACCGATGTGAGATTGAGGTTATGTATATGGTTGAATGAGCGTTTGATTATCGGTTTTGGGTTGAACCCCATGTAATTGTGAACCGATGTGAGATTGAGGTTATGTATATGGTTGAATGAGCGTTGGATTATCGGTTTTGGGTTCAACCCCATGTAATTGTGAACCGATGTGAGATTGAGGTTATGTATGTGGTTGAATGAGCGTTGGATTATCGGTTTTGGGTTCCCATGTAATTGTGAACCGATGTGAGATTGAGGTTATTTATATGGTTGAATGAGCGTTGGATTATCGGTTTTGGGTTGAACCCCATGTAATTGTGAACCGATGTGAGATTGAGGTTATGTATATGGTTGAATGAGCGTTTGATTATCGGTTTTGGGTTGAACCCCATGTAATTGTGAACCGATGTGAGATTGAGGTTATGTATATGGTTAAATGAGCGTTTGATTATCGGTTTTGGGTTCAACCCCATGTAATTGTGAACCGATGTGAGATTGAGGTTATGTATATGGTTTAGTGAGCGTTTAGTTATCGGTTTTGGGTTCAACCCATGTAATTGTGAACGGATGTGAGATTGAGGTTATGTATATGGTCGAATGAGCATTTGATTATCGGTTTTGGGTTCAACCCCATGTAATTGTGAACCGATGTGAGATTGAGGTTATGTATATGGTTTAATGAGCGTTTGATTATCGGTATTGGGTTCAACCCCATGTAATTGTGAACCGATGTGAGATTGAGGTTATGTATATGGTTGAATGAGCGTTGGATTATCGGATTTGGGTTGAACCCCATGTAATTGTGAACCGATGTGAGATTGAGGTTATGTATATGGTTAAATGAGTGTTTGATTATCGGTTTTGGGTTCAACCCCATGTAATTGTGAACCGATGTGAGATTGAGGTTATGTATATGGTTTAGTGAGCGTTTAATTATCGGTTTTGGGTTCAACCCATGTAATTGTGAACGGATGTGAGATTGAGGTTATGTATATGGTTGAATGAGCATTTGATTATCGGTTTTGGGTTCAACCCCATGTAATTGTGAACCGATGTGAGATTGAGGTTATGTATATGGTTGAATGAGCGTTTGATTATCGGTATTGGGTTCAACCCCATGTAATTGTGAACCGATGTGAGATTGAGGTTATGTATATGGTTGAATGAGCGTTGGATTATCGGTTTTGGGTTGAACCCCATGTAATTGTGAACCGATGTGAGATTGAATTATGTATATGGTTTAGTGAGCGTTTAATTATTGGTTTTGGGTTGAACCCATGTAATTGTGAACCGATGTGAGATTGAGGTTATGTATATGGTTGAATGAGCGTTTGATTATCGGTTTTGGGTTGAACCCCATGTAATTGTGAACCGATGTGAGATTGAGGTTATGTATATGGTTGAATGAGCGTTGGATTATCGGTTTTGGGTTCAACCCCATGTAATTGTGAACCGATGTGAGATTGAGGTTATGTATATGGTTGAATGAGCGTTGGATTATCGGTTTTGGGTTCAACCCATGTAATTGTGAACCGATGTGAGATTGAGGTTATTTATATGGTTGAATGAGCGTTGGATTATCGGTTTTGGGTTGAACCCCATGTAATTGTGAACCGATGTGAGATTGAGGTTATGTATATGGTTGAATGAGCGTTTGATTGTCGGTATTGGGTTCAACCCCATGTAATTGTGAACCGATGTGAGATTGAGGTTATGTATATGGTTGAATGAGCGTTGGATTATCGGTTTTGGGTTGAACCCCATGTAATTGTGAACCGATGTGAGATTGAGGTTATGTATATGGTTTAGTGAGCGTTTAATTATTGGTTTTGGTTTGAACCCATGTAATTGTGAACCGATGTGAG